ATTAATATTCAGAATTGTCTCTAGGTTTAGGAATGTATGAAACACCCCTGTTCCTAGCTCATGAAGAAGAGTCAGGTGGCCGCAGTGTTCCCACTACTCCTCTACAAGTAGCAGCCCCAGGTAGGTATCAAAGGCAGATTAGTAGATTTTGTGTTTTATTGATGAAAGGGAAACTTACGAAGCATATTCTAGATAAAAATTTGATAAACCACAAAGTAAAAGTTTGATTTCTTATCTTTTCTTTTTAAAGTGACTGTATTTACTGAGAGTACCACCTCTGATGCGTCAGAGCATGCCTCTCAGTCTGTTCCAATGGTGACAACATCCACTGGCACTTTATCTACAACAAATGAAACAGCAGCAGGTGATGATGGAGATGAAGTATTTGTGGAAGCAGAATCTGAAGGGTAAAGGATTAATTTGTAGTTGTTTTCTTGCTTTAGTTTCATGAGACTTACATTTATTTTACTTTAGCCAAGAAACAATCTGTTGCTCTTTTTTTAATAGCATCTTACCAAAAAAAATTTGTCCTATATATTTTGGAAGACTATTTTGCATATGGTAATATACTTTAGAACTTTAAATTATTTGTCTTTTATAATAATTTCTAAAAACCATTCTCTCCTTGAAAATTACGTAATATTCTAGATCAAAGTATTTCTTTAAAAGTACTGCGACCCCTCTATTCACATAGCTGCTTAAACTTAACATTAAGAAAAAAGTCTTTCTGTGAAAATTAGGAAATGACTCACTTTCCATTAGGTAGTGATCCATCAAGTAATCCTCACTGTTTATTTATGTACATTTTGACTTTGGTGCCTTAAATACTGGCTTTATAAAAATAAGAGATTTTTCTAGTAGTTTTCAAGGCATAACTACATTTTTAGCACACCAGTGACAAAGAAAGCTTAACGAAAGAAGTATTTCATGACAAGTCCTTTGGATTTTTTTGGTAAACCAAAGGAAATGGAGTAATTTAATGGAAAGAACCATTGAACAGTGATCTTAGAGAAGCTGTTTAATTTTCAAGGTGAAACCTAATTTTTTATAAAATGGAAAAAACTATTTTTTCTAGAAGCATAGCTAGAGAGGAAGAACCCAGATTTCTTAGGTACAACTCAAAGACTATGTAGCAACATTTTATTATAGGCCAACTATAGAATCTGAGGGGAAAAGCAGGTCTGCTATTATCCTTTAATTCAATGTTACTTAATTTGAGGAGCTTACAGATCCTATTGAGAATATGAGCTGCCATTAGTTTCATACCCTGTATGCAGGTCACTTTACATATGTCATTTCTAACCCACACAATATCCCAATAAAGCATTTTCTCCACTATACAAATAATAAAACTCAGGCTTAGAGCATGTTAAAATAACTTGCTTTAGGCTACACTATGTGTAAGCAGCTCAGACTGGATTTGAAAACCCTGTCTTCTCAACTTTAGCACACAGTCCTGAGAGCTATTAACTACTAAAGTTTGCAAACAATTTAAAAAACTGGATCAGATACATATTGTTCTTATACTGTCTACTTCACTGGGCTAGGGCTATTATAAACTGTTTTTGCATTCCAATTTCCTGAAAAGTTGTTTTGGCATTTATCAAAATCTGGACAATATTTTTTCCTGTGAGTGTCAAGAATGTGAACATACTTGTCAAAAGGAAACAAAAACTAAAATTGAAACATGTCCTAGTGAGGAAAAGATAACTTGAGTTCTTGTCTTCCCTGTCCCTTTAAAAAATACCTGTGATTACCAGTATCAGAGTCTGTAATTTTTAGTTTAAGGAAGCTCTGACTTATTTAAGTGATAAACTAGATCAAAACGGGTTTGGAAATAATTTTGGATACATTCTAGAATTGGTTTTGTATTTTCTAAAAAATTTTTGTTTTCCTTAGTATTAGTTCAGAAGCAGGCCTAGAAATAGACAGCCAGCAGGAAGAAGAGCCTGTTCAGGCATCTGATGAGTCAGATCTCCCTTCCACCAGCCAGGATCCTCCTTCCAGCTCTTCTGTAGGTAAGCTGCTGCTCCTGACTACAATAGAGCTTTTATTCACGCAGCTTGTTTGTGAAAACACTGCTTTATTTGTAAAAAATAGATAATCTCTGTTCCTCTATTCTAAAATGCTTTATTTAAAAGGGAAGTTTTATTTTATTATTAAGGGGAACTTGGTTGATTACTGAAACCATTATTCTAAGAATATTCTGTCCTGATAATCAAAAATATGGACAAAGTGGATCCATTCCAGAAGAATAGTTTACTCATATTTCCTCTGGACAAATAGTTGTCAACATATGTTCTGTAGAGCTCTTGGGTCTTGTAAAGGTGTTTCAGGGGTTGTAGGGGATGGGTGTCCTGGGAGAGAAGCTAAGGAGTAAGGTTAATTTTGAAAAAAAATATTGTGTACCTTTCCAATATTAAAAGTTATTTTTAAAAATAATGACAATTAGTGTTTATTGAGCACTTACTGTGTATCAGGCAATAGTCTGATTCCTTCACCTATATTTAATTGTTTGACTCTTACAACTCAGTGTGGTAGGTACCTATCCCCGTTTTATAGATACAGAGACTGAGGCACAGAAAGGGTGAATAATTTCTTCATGGTCAAATAACTAACAAGTAACGGACAAGCCAGGATGCGAATTGATGGAATTTGGCTTCACAGACTCCGCTCTTAAACAATACACTGTACCAGCTTATCTCTCAATTTTTAAGCAGGAAATTACCTTTATTATTGAGGAAATAAAGTTCTCAGTAATTTATTCTGAATATTTTAATTTTGAACTGTTTACAGCGGTAATTCTTAAACTCTGCCATGGAACCTTCACATTTTATAGCAGACCTACTCAGTCATTTATTACTTTTTTCAATCACAGAACTTTGCTACCCCAAGATCTCTTCCCCTACCTCTATTCCACTTTTCTGTGACAACCTGTTGGCCAACATCACTACGTTCAAATCCTATATCCACCTTTTAATAACTGGTGACTTTAAATGTCTGCACATTTCATTATGAAATAATGGATATTCATAACTAATCTTACAGTCAGGATTAAAAATAATATAAGTAAATTATAGGACTCGATTTTTCATACTCAGAAAAGCTTAAAAAAATTGTGGTTACCGTATAAAATTACCAAAGTGTTGGACCCCCAATTATACTCTTATGTCCCGTAAAAACTCTCTTTTCTTAACAGGAGAATTGGCATTTTTTTTTTGTCTTACCAGAGCTTACATGAGAAAATATGATTGTTGTTCCCTTTGAATGTATAATATGAAATTAGGATGTCTTTAAATTTATTTGGCAATATGAAATACTGTATACCTCCCGATCTAAGCAGCTATTCATTTGGTCAACAAATACTTGACTGTGAACCAGGCAGTATCATAGAAAGCATCACGTAGAAGGTGACATTTAAGTAAAAAGACTCAAAGGAGGAAAGGGATCAAAGTTCTACACTTATTTGGAGGAAGAATTTTCTGGATTGAATGAAATAGCATATGTAAGGTTTGAAGGCAGTGGTGTGTCTAATGTGTTCAGGGTCAAGGAAAGAGGTCAATATGGCCAGAGCACAGTGAGTGAGAACAGACTAGCGGGAAATATGTCAGGAGTGGGGTGAGGGCAGATCCTTGTAATTGCCTTGGCTTTCAAGAATATAGGATGGAAGACTTCAAGCAGAGTTGTGAGATGCTCTGACTTAAAGGCTTAATAATATCAGTTTGACTGCTGTGTAGAGAAGAGATTGAAAATTAGTAGTGGACAGAACAGGGAGAAAGTTTGGAGACTATTGCAGTAATTCAAGATAAAGATGGTGACGGCTTTAGGAAGGATGATCAAGATAAGGTTATGAGAAGTGGCCAGATTTAGGATATATATTTAAGTTTGAGCTTGCAGAATCCACCGATGATTAGATTTAGGGTGTGTGAAAAAGAGAAGATGATATGATTCATGTTCTATTCTAATGGGCTGTTTGCTAAGGGACTTGATATTATTTCCCCTTGTATTTTCCAGCAACTAACACCATTTCTGATACATGGGGTAGTTACCAAGAAAATATTAAGTTAGTTGAGTGAATGAAAAAGTCAAACTTTTTGTTTTTGAATGCTTTTTTTTCCTACCATTTGCCCTCTTTTTGGTTGTTTAAATGTCCTTCATTGTTAAATATATACATATTGAAAGCAAATGAACAAGTCTTCATCTTCAGTAGTCATGTAGTAATTAGTAATTATCATTGCTTTCCTTTTTTAAAACCTGCTTTTATTGTATCTTAATGTTTTTCTTAGATACTAGCAGTAGCCAACCAAAGCCCTTCAGACGAGTAAGACTTCAGACAACATTGAGACAAGGTGTCCGTGGCCGTCAATTTAACAGACAGAGAGGTGAATTTCTGACATACTGATTTCAAGATTGAATGTGGATAGTAATAAATGGGACACATTTTATAATCCTTAAGCATCCAGTTTATTTTTTAATGCTCCAAGGATTATTTAAATAATATAAGGATTAAATAATTAACATGTAACGATGACTAATCTGTAAGGTTCTTGCAGGCAGATTTGTATACCATAGATGTATAATAAATATCTCTGCCTATTATCATATTGTTAAATATTTGCTATGCAGATAAATGAAACTTGGTGACTTTGTTTTAGCTAGTAAAAAGAATGTAGAATTTTAATACTTCCGTGTTTCCTAGTGTAAGTAATAGATTTCACTCATGCCATAAGAATGTTAAACTAATTGTAATCATTCCCATTGAAAAGTGGAATATCTTATAGTTTTATATCTACAATGTCTAGATATTTTATATTGAAAACAATTTTTATTATGAACTAGGGTAAGTGAATACCCTACTTTTGAGCTATTTTAAAAGTTGCAATCAATTTAATTCTTTTTTTTTCCTCTCTTATAGGTGTGAGCCCTGCAATGGGAGGGAGAGGAGGAATAAATAGAGGAAATATTAATTAAATGGTCTGCAGACTAATAACTGTGAATAAGATTGTCAAATCTGTTTTAGTGTAATGATTGTCACGTTTAAAAACATTTTTATATTTAAATTAGTATGCTCATCTCAACATTCTTTATTAATAAAATGTGTTTCAGTGTCAAAATGTATCATTCTTTTCTTCATTTTAATTAGTTGACTCTTCTTTGCCCATCAGTCTAAGGGCAGTTGTACCAGACTTTGGATAGGGTCTGCCCAGAACGAGTAGTAATTGCTCTTGCTGTTCTACTTGGCACATCGATGTTATAGTATTGATCTAAATGGAAGAGAAATTATTTTTCTAATTAAAAAGAAAACACTCAAACTCAAAAATAATTCAGGTTGACTATAATGCCCAAAGACAGTGTTCGTCATTTTAATATCAGAAATGTTTTATTACTTAATTTAAGCTTTCTAACAAAAACAATTGCCCTGGCCTTTTGACATTTCAGAGGATTGACCTTTCAACATCTTTCAGTAAAATTACATTCAACTCTTCTTTTTGAAGTAAGCATTTAAGATGATCAAGCTATTCTAAAGAATAATTCCCTTGGATTTATCTTTTTTAAAAAAATACATCTGATGTCATTCATATGAATCGTGGGCAGAATAACTTAAGTTTTGGGGCTTTTCAAAGAAAAATGTCCAGAGTAATATAATATAATTAATAAAATTAGTTTCTCTGGGGAATTCTTTCTGATCTCGCAGACTGTGTAATGATGCAAATCAGTATAACTTTGTGACAAAGCATCCGTTGAATGCCACAGATTATAGAAGTAAAATACTGTTTTCAGTTGTAGTTTTACTCAAGTAATTGGATGTTTTTATCATAATCTCATGAATATTGGAGCAGAAGCAAATTTGTTTTTTAATTGAAATTAAAGCAGGCCTGGCTCGGTGGCTCAGCCGGTAATCTCAGCACTTTGGGAGGCTGAGGTAAGAGGATTGCCTTAGCCCGTGGATTCGAGACCAGTCCGGGCAACTTGGCAAGACCTCGTCTCTACAATAAATCAAAAATTAGCTGGGCGTGGTAGCATGAACCTGTGGTTCTGGCTACTTGGAAGCCTGGCTGAGGTAAAAGGATCACTGGAGCTCAATAGGTCAGTGCTGGGGTGACCATGAGTGTGCCCCTGCACTCCAGCCAGAGCGACGGAATGAGACTCCAACTCAAAAAGAAAAAAGAAAAAATTGAAACTCTTCACAGCATTTAGAATAAGTATTATTTTAACTTCTCAATGTTAGTGACCATTGCAACAGTCTGTATTTTTGCTTTAATTATATTCATATTGTCACAAGTGATATCACCTCCTTGGAAAGCTATTCAGATTTTACTTACCCTTAGAAAGGGCATAGTAATCGTAGCCATCAGGTTTTCTGATGTTGGGAAGTGATATAGCTGAGGTAACCATACTTGGAAACCCTCTCCACAGTGTACTCACTTTAACTTCATTATGAAGGAAACCTGGAGGTGACATGTTTAATAAAAGGCATCAAATTAAAAGGCAATGGACTGTCTTGGAAAGAGCCATACAGACCTAGGCTTTAATCTGTTTATTTACTTAGTAGCTGTTACTTAGGTGAGTTGTATTTAATACTTTTGGTAAGAAGTACTTGATAAATAGTATTTATTATAATTAACAAACGTGAATAAGCCACTGTCCTTACCCACAAAGAAACAAAGTACTGATACTTTGTTATTCACTAAGGCAAATTGATGTTTTACATCAGTAAGATTAAATTATTAGGGCTAGTTGGTCAGTATATTTAATAAGCATTACTCTATAAGAAACTGTATTATACTTTTTGTTTAAGAATTCTTAGTACAATAAAAGTGTTACCTTTGTCTTGATAAACAACTCTGACAGGTGAATAGTGAATTCTGATGGTATGTGTTTGAGCGTGTCCTATAGCCCGTTCAAAACGACGTCTTCTAACCTGTGTTGTTTCTCCATACACTGGATAATTTAAAGCAGGCCTTCTTCCAGTGCACTTACTGACAGGCTCTTGTTTATAAGTATACTGCTGAATGCTGCCACCTGTTATGTATTAGAAAGTCACATAAAATATGAGAATTGTAATCCTCTCAGAAAAGATGGACAAGAACTTTTACAACGTGGAGAAAGCGATCAATGTTTTTCATAAAATGTCTAGATATTAGCTGCTATTAGTCAAACGTATTATAAAAATAATTACTACATCTTAAAGTACTTGAATGAGTAAAAGCAACAGATTGCATAGTTACAGATTTAATTGAAAGTAAATGATGATAGTCTATCAGTGACCTGAAAATGCAGATGAATGGTTATTTGCATATCAAGAGATCTAAATACTTCTTCCTGCCCTCAATATTGATTGTTTTAATGGAAAATATTTGGTTCCAGCCATTGAAGATATCTTTTGACAGTAAACCCAGTAGTAAATGAAAATACTGAGTACAAATCATTTCTTTAAAAAAAGTTTTATAATTTTGTCAGTTATGTAACACATACCTCTCTTGAAAAAGTATACAGATTCGGGCCTGTTTTTGTATTTAGCTATTGAAAGAGCCGCCACTATTTTTCCATTTAGTCCTCCAAATCCTTTTACAATTTGTTTGGGATACCCTGCATCTTTTATGTCATTGGTGAAGCGCCAGTACTGAGAATCCTGATAATTAAAAGAAAAAATGATGTTAACAACTTTGGACAAAAGATTAGAAATTCATTTTTAGATTTACATAAGAATAGAACATGTTAACTTAGTTAACTGTTTGAATATGTTGACCATTAATATTATCAATTTAAGTGTTAACTTGATTAAATTTTGATGATAAACTAGTTCATTACAATGTGAGGACATTTCTGAATTGGAGGTTAAAGTGATTATTTGTCATAATAGATAGTGCAATTACTATTTGATTTCTCTCACAAAGATATTTTTGTTACCTTAAAGAAGAAAGTTTTTCCTTCACAGTTGCATCTAGTAAAAACAGTATCAATGGGGGAAGGAATACCCCAGACTTCGGTAATTCTGCGAGCTGGAGATGGTGGACTGAATGGATTTAGCTTCCAGAAATAATGACCTAAAATTTAAAGGGAGACAACAGCCTATATGCTGAATACCGTTGAATGAAACGCACCACAAAAGAAACCAAAATGAAGAATTTTTAAGTAGTTATGTAAGGAAAAACACTATGTATTGTATGACTGGACATTTAGTCAGGTACAAATTACCATGTATGAACGTTTACTAGAGTAGATATCTCTCAAGTCTGGAATTTAGCATAGCTTTTGATCGGTTTTCCAGTTTCTCTAGGAAAAACCTTTTAGCTTTGTGACTTCAAGAAAATCACATCTCTGGATCTTAACTTCTTTATCTTTTAGAATCTTTATCATTTAGAATGATAATAAAATCTCTAGCCTCTATTGTGCAAGTTTGATTTGTTTTCAGGTTTAATCTAAATATGTTTTAAGAAGACTGGACTAGTAGAGAGTATAGCAGAGAATTAACATGAAATAACTGCTATTCTGTTACTTTCCCAAATACTTGAACACCTCATAATTGAGATGTTACTTTAAAAAAAAAAAAAAAAGCAGGAAGTGCAAATGCTGATGTCATTTCATTTGATATGAAATTAAAATTTGTACTACCATTTAAATCCTAACAACAGGAGTAAAACCTCAGTAGTGCCAGTTCAGGCTCATTGCTTTGTTACTTTGTCTATTTTTTGTTCATCTGGGATTTTGGTTATTACTCTCAGATTCTCATGTGTGAGATAGGTTTATCAGCCAGGTTCCTCCAGAAGCTCAACCCAAACTAGCACTCTCCCATGGCTTTGGTTCACATAAATGCCGTGAGGGGAAGAAACAGAAATGTGTACATAACTCACCTCGGAATGCAACTAATGTTCCATTGTGCAAAGTAGTCAGTCCATCTACTGGCTTACCATTGCATAAGTTGGTCTCATCTAGACAAATTAACAAAAAATAAATATACAACAGAATGAGAAAAGTATGTCCTTTTCAAGTCCTCTTACAGGGTTCTATTTCCTGTTTACCCTTTTCTACGATCTTGAAGGGCACAGTTTGAGAGGTGAACGAGAAGTGATATATTCCATTTTAATTCCAGGTGATACTGTTCCAAAGTATGATAAAAATAAATTATGAATTGGCATGAACCAGGTTACCTTGATCTTCATGTAAACTAGACTTTTATTGGATATATGAACTTAAAGTGAAATTGCACTTTTTAGTTCTGATTGCCTTTTGGGTTGGTCTGGAAAAGAAAATTATACTATAGATTTTGCTTTGCATTGTACAAGGTCAGGGTTCTAGGTAATATATCTCAGTAGAGTGATATTAATCAGGGCATTCTGGTTCAAGTAGATGTAAATTAGTATTACCAGTTTTTAAAGTGAAAATAACTGATTATTATTACCTGAAAGAATGGGGTTGATGCCAATGCCTTGGCGCACTAAGTAATCCATGCCTGGAATAACTATAGGAGGTAACACAGGGGGCCTGAGAATCATGTGAGGTTTTTCTCCTTCAGCACCGTCTGCATCTGCATTCTTTGGATTTTCTTCCACTCTTCCTGAGTTTGGAGTTGGTTTAGGGCTGGTGGTGGTTTGGAACATAGTTTCAACAGAGGTAGGATTCAATTCAGGTACTGTTGTCATCTTTGGGGGAGTTGGCGTCGTCTTTGGTTTTCTCACTCTAGGTGTTGTTTTTGGCTTTCTGGTAGGAGGGGGCTTTTTGGGTGCTTTGGTTGGCTTTGGGGGTTTAGGAGTTGTCACTTTAGAATTAGTAGCTGTATCTTTTGGTTTCGCTGTTTCCTCAGGTTTGTTCATAGTCTCTTCAGTTGTAGTAGTTGTCTTTTTTGTTGTAGTAGTTGCTTTGGGTGCAAGAGTTGTTGCTTTAAGAGTAGTAATTTTCAGGGATGTGGTCTCTTGAGTTGTCGATGTCACTTGCGTGGTTATACTTGTTAATTTGGATTCAGCTGTCTTCTCTTCTGTTGTAGTTGCTGTCTCTTTTGTTGTAATCTTAGGTGCAGCAGTCGTGATTTCAGGTGTGGTATGGATGTCTTTTGCTGTTGTCTTGTCTTTAGCTGTTGTAGTCATTTCAGGTTTAGTCACTTCAGAAGTCTTAGTTGTAGGGACAGCAGGTTCCTTGGGACTGTTTTCAAGAGCCTTTGGTGTGGGTTCTGCAGAAAACTCAGGAGTTGATTCAGCAGGGATCTTGGGAGTAGTGGGAGACTGCGTGGTGGTAGTTGGAGTAGAGGCCTCTGCGGTGGTGGGAGCAGGTGTCTCAGAAGTAGTTGGACTAGGCTTCTTGGGGGGGGTGGGTGCAGGCTCCTCTGGCATCATGGGAGTGGGTTCCTTGGGGATCATGGGAGCTGGTTCTTTGGTAGTAGTTGGAGCAGGCTTCTTGGTTGTAGTGGGTGCAGGCTCCGAGGTGGTAGTGGGTGCCAGTTCTTTGGTGGGAGTGGGTTCCTTGGTGGTAGTAGGAGCCTGTGCCTTGGTGGTAGGTTCAGGATCCTCGGGGGTGGTGGGTGCAGGCTCCTCAGGGGTGGTGGGTGCAGGTCTCTTAGTGGTGGTAGGAGCTGGTTCCTTGGTTGTGATGGGTGCAGGCTCCCTGGGGATGGTAGGATCTGGTTCCTTGGTTGTAGTGGGGACAGGCTCCTTGGGTGTGGTGGGTTTAGGCTCCTTGGGGGTGGTGGGAGCTGGTTCCTTGGTTGTGGTGGGTGCAGGCTCCCTGGGGGTGGTAGGACCTGATTCCTCGGTTGTAGTGGGGACAGGCTCCTCAGGTGTGGGGGCAGGCTCCCTGGGGGTGGTGGGTTTAGGCTCCTCGGGGGTGGTAGGAGCTGGTTCCTTGGTTGTGGAGGGTGCAGGCTCCTTGGTGGTGGTGGTGGTTGATGCTGGTTCCTTGGTGGTGGTGGGTGCAGGCTCCTTGGTGGTAGTTGGAGCAGGAGCTTTGGTTGTAGTTTCAGCTTTGGGTATAGGTTTAGTAGGCACTTCAGATGTGGGTGCTAAATCTTTACCAGCTGTTTTCTCTGCACCTCGGGTCTCCTTAGAAGTAGTCTTCTCTTTTTCACTAGTTGAGGTCTGTTTATTTGTTTTACTAGTCTCTTTGGTTTTGACTATTGTCTCCTTATTGGCTGTCAAAGTTGTCTCTTTAGATGTATCAGAATTAGGTGGAAGGCTGGGTTTAGGATCTTTTGGTTTTGCTGTTGTAATCTTGGGAGATGTGGTAACTTTATTGCTTTGGGTGGTAGGAATGGCAGGAGCTGGGGTGAGCTTGACATCACCACTGTCTAGTCCACTTCCAGCTTCATCTGTAACAGGTGGTTTGGGGGTAGGCTTCTTTTTAGGAGTTCTTTTCTTCTTGTTACCTTTTTCTAGAGAAAAATACATCTTGTTAAAATTAGAATAGTTTTCCCCCCTTAAATAGTGACATGAAGTTTCCATCTTTGTCATTGACTAGCTATGTGTTTCTAGGCAAATTACTAAACTCTAATATGTCTACTAATTTATCGTAAAATGGTAAATACTCAGCCTATCTTTTCAGTCCATTTTAAGGGATTAATGAAATAAGGGATGAAACATGCAAATTAACAACTAATAACATGGAAGTCAGTGGCAACTTTGAAATAAGCAACGGATCAATGACACTAACTCGTCTCTTTATATTAATGTTCTTTACCCCTCACTTTCTCCACTCTTTCTCCTCAGTGCCCAGTGCCCCTTCCCTCCTCCTGGAAACCTAGTTCTGACATCTTCTAGTTTCACCACACCCGTGATTTCAGAGGCCTCTACAGCTAGCTTGAAGAAGCTGCCCCCGTCACTCCAAGGTCCTTGCTGAGCCCTGTTCCCATACATAGGGCTATTAACTGCTCCCTTCTGCCCAGCTATACATGACAGTCCCAGGAGACATGAGGAGGAGATTAGGATGCCATGGCAACTAAAAGACACTATTTCACAAGAATTTTCCATAGCAGCTACTTCATATGTGAACTATAATGCCCAGGGAACATGTTACCCAGATGAATTCCGTTTAGCAAACATGTATTACACTTTTATTGTGTGCAAAATTTTCTGGATGACTAAAAGATTAACTGTCTGGTTGTTCAGCTAGAGAGAATGCTTCAGAAGAAGTCACAACAACCTAGAAAATAGAGTTCTTCAAAACTCCATTATCCAAATCCAGTATTTCCTGGAGAAAGAGGATATATGTTAGAACTTCAGGAAATAATAAAGAGCAGAATAAAGGGAATCTCTCTTCAGGCAATAGTACCCTGCACTGTGGCACGTTCCTAGAGAAAAATCAGCCAGATATGATGCACAACTTACTAAGAAAATAAAGAGTATCTGTAAAACGTAGATGATAATATTGCCTTTCCACAGAGGTTTATGAAAATATTGAACTTATATTTGTAAAACACTGAAAGCAGTATATAATTGTTAAGTAAGAAAAACAAAGCTAGGGGAGGGAGAATGAAAACACAAGGAAGATAAAGGAGGGGGAAGAAAACAAAATGATATCAGGTCAACAGGAATTGCAATAGAACACCATAAGTAATCATCTCTGGTACCATCCTGTGGTCCCAGTCGCTGCTACGGCATTTTCTTATTCTTCACTTTTAAGAGTGGCTTCTTAACTGCTGGGCACTAATTTCCTGTAGGAAGTATTTATTTGGTACTGTCTAAGATAATGTTTATAAAGTTACATACCCCCCCTTACTGAGATACCTTCATCCTATAAACACCCATTACTTTTAAATAATCATTGTTTACATGGCATTGATATAGTCTTTGATCTTTATCAATGCTCAAACCTTTGGGTTTCTTCTGTAATTCTTTATTAGCGGCTGAATTTTTGGAAGACTTGATTTTCCGAATAGTTGAAGAGGAAGAAGAGGAGGAGGAGGAGGAGGAGGACTCTTGATTTTCAGAAACAGAATGTTCTATAAATCAAATAAAAAGGTTTATCACACCAACTGTGATTTGAAACAAAAACTGCCAGTCCAAATACAGTAAGAAATGCTATTTACTGAACTCAAGTATCTGTGTTCTGCTTTTATCAGTAATATCACTGTCCTTTTAATTTTTCAGTTACCAGCAAGACACCTAAGCTTATCACAGATATTATTAGTGTAACTAGTATCTCTCAACTTTCCCATATCTGCCAAAACTTGTCACAGAATCTAATCATTCTGCAAAGAAAATCTGGGTTTTTTGTTTGTTTGTTTTCTTACAGTAAGATATGTCCCGTCTGATTTTTTTTTTTTTGAGTTGGAGTCTCACTCTGTCACCCAGACTGGAGTGCAGTGGC